ATTTTATACAGAATTTGATGTCACCTTAAACGAAAGCCATTGTTCCAAAAATTAAATTCGATTTGTGATGAACTATATTCATCGCGACAATTATAGAAAGTTATTAATTATACTTTCGTCAGAAATACTTACACTTGCAACGTAATCTCGCTAAAGTGCTGTATATATTTTCCAGAAGAAGAGGATTATAAAGGAAACCGGTTAAATACTTTTCTTGTACAGTAACGATGCAGAATGTACCGATGACGAAGATGTATTCGAAACCTGCCAAATACGTCTCTTGTATTGTGAAGATATGCATTCTCGTCCATCCCTTTTTTTACATTTGTCAACATGAATACAGTTCAGGATATTCATTCTCGTTCATACCTTTCCTACTCAATTTGTGATACACTTAGGGTGTGTTTGTCTTCCAATTTTTTATTATTCAATGTACAGCTACACAGGAAAATATCGTTAGAAAACCATGCTAAACATTTTGACAAAATCAACGATACTCCTTGAAATATAGATTTTAACGCTACGAAACTGTTGGTATCCCTGATTTTCCAACTACTTTTGCGTGTGTGTGAGTTGTCTAAATATGGCAAGGCTCATTCCATTCCTTACTGGAATAAAATCATCATCATTACCGTTAATCCACATGAATTCTGGAAAGAGTATTCGAGACATGAATCATAACGAGACAGATTCGAAACACAATTCGAATCCCAAAATACCAACCCTTCCGTAACATAAGGTTTCGTTCGTTACTTTCGTTCGTTCCGACACCTCTCCTAACGATAATTTTCTGCTGTAGCTGTACATACGGATATTCCCTAACAGCACGGGAGACACAGCTGATGCGGGACTCCACCAGGTGTTACTACAGAGGGTCCTTTTACCTGCCTGGAGAAGAAGTGCCCTTACGAAATCCATGTCTTGGCACTTGTCGCTGTGTTCTTGGTGCTTTGCAAGTATTTTGTTTTTGTTGTTGTTACTGTTGTCTGTTTTAGTAATTCAAAGACAGTTTGAAGTCCGTCTTTTCCTTTTTTTTTTTTTTTTTTAGATGTTTTCAATTTGTTCTGTTCTTTTTTTTCGAAACATCTGTTCTATTAATCTCTCATCTCTATCTCTCTGCCTCTATGTGTTTTTGCTCCTCTCTCTCTCTCTCTCTCTCTCTCTCTCTCTCTCTCTCTCTCCTCTCTCTCTCTCACTCTCTACACACACACACAAACACACAACACACACAACACACACACACAACACACACACACACACACACACACACACACACACACACACACACACACACACACCACACACACACACCACACACACACACACACACACACACTCTTTCCCTTCTATCCATGAGTGTATATATGTATCTATATTGTCTCTACCGCTTTCTAAAATGTCCAAATGGCTTAACCGTCTCTCACCTTCTCTCACAAGGCCCGCTATTGAGTGCCAAAGTGAGTGCCAAGACATGGATCAACCAGGACCAGGATGCCGACACCTGTTCAACCCAGGAGCATGTTGTCCGCATGCCCAAAATTGCGGTATGTGGTAACCCATGTTGTATGCAGTTTCATGCATAGGAAAACCGTTTAATGTTGAATCCAGGTATGTTAGACACAGAATAACGTGTGCTCCGGGTGTTGTATGATTTTCCCGTTTTATTTTATTTTTCCCCTGGTGATTTCATGTCATAAGTGGGTTCGTTTGGACAATGAATTGGCGAATCTAATTTTAGACTAGAGAGAAGTTTTAGATATGATATTGTGCTACAAGTTACCATGCCTTTGATTAACAGTAATCATGTCTCTTCATATTTGTCTGTCTGTCTGTCTGTCTGTCTGTCTCTCTCTCTCTCTCTCTCTCTCTCTCTCTCTCTCTCCTCTCTCTCTCTCTCTCTCTCTCTCTCTTCTCTCTTCCCTCTCTCTCTCTCTCTCTCTCTCTCTCTCTCTCTCTCTCTCTCTCTCTCTCTCTCTCTCTCTCTCTCTCCTCTCTCTCTCCTCTCTCTCTCTCTCTCTCCTTACGTCACTTTTCCCTCCTTTCCTCCCTGCTTCCCTCACTTCCTCCTCGTCCTTCATCACTCCCCCCCCCCCCCCACTCTCTCCTACCCCCATTTTCTCCCTTCCATCCTTCCAACCCTCTCTCGCCTCTCTCTCTTTCTCCCCCTCCTTCTCTTTCTTTCTCTCAGAAGAACAAGATGCTCCCGTGGATCCAAGAGACAAGGTGACCTGCTCTTGGGGGAATAAAACGTACCTCGAAGGTGAGCGGATGACCTCAGATGACCTTCCTTGCCAGGCGTGCGTGTGTACTTCCTCTTTTACCGACATCACAGGTTATGGCTGTTACAAAATGGACTGCGGACTTGAGAGGCTAGTTTTGTTTGTTTATCGTGGTTTCAAAAATGTTTCAAAATGTTGGTGACGAGAAAAAAATACGTAATTTTTATTTTTTTTTTTTTTTTTTTTTTTTTTTTTGGTAGATAATGTACTGTGTTTTGTTGATATACAAGACCCTTGGATAGATTAGAGAAACATTGAAGGCAAAAGGAAATGTTTGAATATTTTTAGTGTAAATATATATATATTTTTTGTCTCTCCTTCTTTCTAGAATGTGTTTTTAATAATGCTGTCATCGCCATATTTCAAATACAAAAAAAAATCTCCTTTAGATATGAAACTGTAATTGAATTTGCGTATGCTAATAGTTTTTTTTTTTTGTTTTGTTGTTGTTGTTGAATCCACATTGCAGGTTCATTTCAAAGTTGCGAAGTGGCTGCACTCCCATTTTCTATGAGAAGAAGTGCTGTCCCACTGACTGGCTGTGTCGTAAGTTTATGTGGTTTTCTGTTTTCATTTATTCGTTATTTTTGTCTGTAAAGTGCGTAGCGGTATTAGGGAAATAAAACAGCTTTGTAGAACCTCAAAACACAGGCACACATACACACGCGCGTGCGCGCGCACATACACACAACACACACACACACACACACACACACACACACACAACACACACACACCACACACACCGACCACACACACACACACAACACCGCACACACACACACAGAGAGAGACCGAGAGAGAGAGAGAGCTAGAGAGAGGAGGAGAGAGAGATGCAGAGATGGAGAGAAGACGAGACGAGAGAGAGAGAGAGAGAGAGAGAGAGAGAGAGAGAGGAGAGATCCACACGAAAACTGGAGTACCTCGTATATAAAGTGCAGACAAATTGATATATATGTATATTGGACATGTGTTTGATGGAGTGTTTGAGTTGTGAGTGAGTGTGTTGGACTGTATGTGAGTGTGGGTTAGACTGGTGGAGCTGTGATGGAACTGCATGTGAGTGTGTGTTATTAATGTGTTTGACTGTATGTTGTGGGGTTAGGACTTGTGTGTTGGGGACTGTATGTGGATGTGTGGGTTTTAGGACTGTGTTGTGTGGACTGTATTTGTGAGTGTGGTCTTGAAATGTGGTTTTGACTGTATGTCGAGTGTGGCGTTAGGAATGTGTTTGACTGTATGTGTGTGGGTTAGACTGTGTGTGTAGGGACTGATTTCGTGTGAGTGTGTGTATTGAATGGTGGTTTTGACTGTATGTGAGTGTGGGTTATTTGAACTTGTATTGGGACTGTATGTTGGAGTGTCTGGGTTAGGACTGTGGTATGTGTTGACTGTATCGTTGAGTGTGGGTTAAGGGACTGTGTGTGGTTGGACTGTATGTGATGTGTGGGTTAGCTGTGTTTGACTGTATGGTTGTAGTGGGTTATTAGCTTGTGTGTTGGACTGGTATGTAGTGTGGTTTAGCTGTGTGCTTTGGGACTGTATGTGAGTTGTGGGTTAGGACTGTGTTTGGACTGTAGTGTTGTGGGTTTAGACTGTGTGTTTGGGACTGTATGTGGAGTGTGGGTTTAGACTGTGTGTGGTTGGACTGTATGTGAGTTTGTAGGTTAGAACTGTGTGTGATTGGACTGTATGTGAGGTGGGTTTAGGGACTGTGTTTGACTGTATGTGAGTGTGGGTTTGAGTGTGTTTGGCTGTATGTGAGTTAGACTGTATGAGTGTGTGGGACTGTTTGTGAGTGTGTGTCTGACTCTGCTTGTTTTAATACTATCTGTACATGTTACCTGTCACGCCTACTCTTGACATTGTTTTATTCCCTCTACCTTATCTATCTATCTCTCTTATTTATCTATTTCTCTTATTTCTATATCTATCTCTCCAGCTGGTGACCCACGCATCTCAACCTCATCGACCAGGAAGCTGACACAGAACCAAGAAGGTAAAGTAATTTGATTAATTTCAGTAACAGGTGTTGTGTTTATGTTATCATTATCATTCTTGTGGTTCTAAAATCTCAGCATTTTTTATGTTTTTATTATCGATTTTGATTTCGCATGTTGATTGTCCACTTTATTTAAAAATTGATATCTCATATCATATTTTAGATTTTTTATGTGAATTTAGAATCATATTTCATACTTTTTTTTATTTTTTATTTCTTATTTTTTCATTGTGTTTTTATTAGTTTTTTTATTTATTTATTTTACTCTCTTATTATATTTATCTTTCCATCAATGTGTTTTCTTTCCATTTTCTATCATTCTCATAAATATCTCTTTTTTTTCTTTTTTGAAAACAGGACCAGAACCCCAAGGTAACGTAAAACATTTATTGTCCTGATTTAATTAATTCGTTGATCAGATGCCTAATGTTTAATTCATCATTTTAATCTTGTGGTTTGGATCCATTTCCCGATTTTTCTTTCCGTTTTATAAGTATTTTATATGTGATGGATAGTTAGGTAGATATTGAACCGTTATCCATGTCGACCAAAACTGCAGAAAAGAGTAATGAATGAGAATGGCGATTAACTTCACCAATAACAAAGAAGATGTTATTTGATCTGGTTTCGAATACATCTTCTTTATTTCTGACTATAAGATGTAGTCAATCGAAATCCATTTCAAATAAATACTTTTGTTTATTGTTAAAGTTTATCTC